TCGATTCGAATAAGCCAGCACAAAGATATTGCAGTTTGAAGAAATCATAAAATATAACTTATCAACTTAATAAAAATGTTTAATGGAAATGAGCTGCTGATACTGTAAGACATTGAAATCGTTCCTGAAATATAAAACGATTTCGATATTATTTCAGCATCAAATACACTCTGCTTAATTGATTTGTATAACGACATTGAACTCGTTCCTGAAGTACAAAAAATGATGTATATGTCGTTCCGATATCGAATACACATTACTTCACTGTTTAATAGGTTTAAGCGCACGTTATGAAATAAGTAAACAACGTTTATGTCGTTTTAATACAATTTTCGACGACAATGATATCGTTCCTATTCAATCGTAACTATAATGTCATATATATCGTTTCAGAAGTGATTACACTAGAATGTTATAACTACGATATTAAATGTAATTGAAATTTACATATAATTGATCGTGTTTTATAATTATCGTTTTAGTTAAAATTTAAATTAAAGCGATATGAATGTTATCAAAATTGTACTGAAACGATAATAGTATCGTTATGTATCAAACCCACAAAATAAGACAACGACATTCAAATCGTCATAGTACAAATTTAATGAGCTTGAAATCATTCCAATTCAAATCACAATGATAATGACATAGGTATCATTTATTTTCATATAAAACAATATTTATATCGTTCAAACTAAATATAAAGATTCGATCGTTTACAATCACCTGTTATGCTTTAGCATATGTAGAACAAACGAAAAATATTATTAAGTGAATTGATAGAGCTCGAATGACTTAAAAAGAGTGAATGAAAATACTTTTTGTTTGAATAGTTCAAAGGTGATATATAATCATTAGAACAAAAATGTTCTCATAGTTTCTTTTGAGGGAGATCGAACCCACTTGATTATCTATTTTTATCATCCTACATATACCAGATGCGCGACTGGTGGTCATAGACAGTCGAATCGTTATTTTTAGCATAAACGATATAATTATCGTTTTATTTTAATTGAAACGATATATACGTAGTTTTAGTTATGATTTAAGTTAAAATGATATCAACATCGTCAAACTTGTATTGAAACAATAATGATATCGTTAATTGTCAAAATCACAAATAAAGTAACAACATTCATATCGTTTTAGTACAAATTTGATGAGTTTGAAATCGTTCCAATTCAATTCACAACTATAACGCGTAGATATCGTTTCTTTTCATATAAAACGATAATTATATCGTTCTAGCTAAAAATAATGATTCGATCGTCCACAACCATCCGTCATGCCTTCAACATACGTAGGACGATCGAAAGATGTTATCAAGTGGGTTGATACCACTTGAATGACTTAGAAAAAGCAAACGAAAATAATTTCTGTCGGAATAGTTTGAAGATGGTATACAATCATGAGAACAAAAATGTTCTCATAGTTTCTTTTAAAGGAGATCGAACCCACTTGATTACCTATTTGGATCACTCTACATATGTCAGATGCATGTTCGGTGGTCCTGGACGGTCGAATCATTATTTTTAGCAAAAACGATATAAGTATCGTTTTATTTTAACTAAAACGATATGCGCATAGTTTTAGTTATGATTTAAACTAAAACGATATCAACGTCGTTAAAATTGTATTGAAACGATATTGATATCGTTATGTATCAAAATCACAAATAAAATAACGACATTCATATAGTTTTAGTACAAATTTGACGAGTTTGAAATCGTTCCAATTCAAATCACAAGTATAACAACGTAGATATCGTTTCTTTTCATATAAAACGATAATTATATCGTTCTGGATAAAAATAACGATTCGACCGTCTACAACCACCCATCATACCTTTAGGATACGTAGGACGATCGAAAGAGGTCATCAGGTGGGTTGATACCACTCGAATGACTTGGAAAGAGCAAACGAAAATAATTTCTGTCGGAATAGTTTGAAGATGGTATACAATCATGAAAACAAAAATGTTCTCATAGTTTCTTTTAAAGGAGATCGAACCCACTTGATTACCTATTTTGATTATCCTACATATGTCAGATGCATGTTCGGTGGTCGTGGACGGTTGAATCATTATTTTTAGCAAAAACGATAAAGTATCGTTTTATTTTAACTGAAACGATATGCGTGTAGTTTTAGTTATGATTTAAATTAAAACGATA